TTTCTCGATCATCGACGGTTCGTTCCACGATGGGGTGGTTTGAGAAAACGTCGTTAGACCGTGTCCGAGATCACATCAACGGTTATACAACCGAGGACAAGCGTCGAACGACGATATCGATGAGTAAATGCGTTTATGGAGGATCCTCGTGAGGATGGAATCGCTCGGGGTAACTAAAACCAAGAGTCTCGTAAAGCAATCAGTGTCGCAATCTGTGTTCCAAATATCTCCCCCCGTGTGCCTTCTTTTCTCCGGTATAAGGTACTCCGATTCAACGGTCTTTCCCCTTAACTTCCGTGGTAACGAACCGTTAACATTGCTCTGCTTATCTGGGACGGTAGTATAACCTTTATATACAGAGATAGGGGAGTTTAGGAAGGAGCTAGCGAAATACCGATCTCAGAGATAGAAACTATCTAATCCTTATCGACGAAGACATCCAAGTACTTCTAGGATCAAGCACGGACTTTAACTCGTTAGCGTCCAATTTTTGATCGCCAACGTGTTAATCGGGCGCCCTTGAATTTAGTATGGGATAGAATGAAAACTGGTATTACTTGAATTCTAAATAACGAATAAACCAAAGAAAAGACATTTGTCCCATCGAATAAACTAATACATGATTATTTCAAATAACATGTACCCAGATAAGATGATATATGGGAAGGATCTCCTAAGTTGGACCACTACTATAACTTCGTGTGTGTAGACTGCAAATGTTTATGCAAATCTTGAATTTTATGGATTAATTCCTCGAAACTGGACACAAGGAAAAGTATGTTTACTCTGTTATGGGGTTTCAGTAGATTCGAAATAAAAAGAAAACCTCGATAAACTCTCTGAAACATTTTACAGATTATTTTTCAGACAATTTATAACGCCCAGACATGATGTCGGGCATACCCAAAGATAGCATCCACGCGTGCAAATAGCAAACCGATACCACCCGGAGAGTGTCAGATTCCGAACATGTAACAGTCAACGTCCCGGTCAACGTCCAGGTTCACGCAATGCCGATGGTGTAAAGCCAGAAGGAGAATCGATCCTCGAGGCTCGGTCCCTTTTTCCTTGTTCCACCTCCCACAGGAAAGAAGGAGGCGGTTCACCCCCTCCTCGTGGCGGGTTGGTGGGTAACAAAAAGGTTGACCTTGCCCGGTGAATTAAACGACACCGCGACGGAGGATGCCTCCGAGGAGAATAGGTCGCGGTCTTTTTTAATTAAATACCTTCGTAACGGAAGAAAGAAAAAGAGAGGGAACCGTGAAAAGGCTCCTGGAAGAGTAGCTCGGCCCTCCTCGGGTGCTTTTAATTAGCTATCGGCGGGAATGTTTGTTACCGTTTGAAGGAGTTACTGGCTGACGCGGAGGGGAAACGGAGAACGCCGCCTGGAGGGTGGCGGAGGGCGGTCAGAGAGAGAGAGAGAGAGAGAGAGAGAGCAAGAGAAATAGGCGGTAGGGGGTGGTGGACGGTTATGCAATCCTCCTGGCGACCTTCCTGAAGGAATTTATTGTCGCTTTCCTTCGCCCCGTTTTTCATCGCCCGCGGATTTATTCGGCAGCCCTCCCGTCCACTGTCACGGCCCCGCCTCGATTTTCTACGCCAGTCTATGGCCTCTCACGGGGCTGTCCTTCTTATAGATAGATCATCCACACAGTAAAAACAACGGACTCTCCTAGTTGATCAAGAGACCCTAACGGAAAGAAAGATTCTCAAGAGCGAAGTAGCACGGAACTCGATGCACCGTCGGATGGAAGAGACTCGAAACTACCCCTCGGGGAATTTTCTTCGGATATCACCGAACCTCCAAGAAAAATATATCTCAATAGTCGTCGATGGTTTTTCCACCCTCTGCACACACGTGACACCTATACCCCCTCTTCTATCCATACAGGTCTCTCTGTCTTTCTCTCTCACTCTAGGATATATGATAAAAGAAGGGGAACGCGAGAGAAGTATACCCTCGAAATTGTTCGTTTTTCCCTGACTGCCCTTTAAGGGTTCTACTGACCTATCAGGGTGGCGAATAAAAAGCTCGTTCAACGCACCGTCAATCGGCCGCGCACATCATTCTCGGCAGCCCAAGAAGTTATCGCGAGCGGGAACGAGCGTAAATAGTTCGAACGTCGCCGCAACAGTCACGAACATGTTCCTCGTCGTCGTGGTTGCGATGATGGTGGTCGTCACGTCACGTCTATAACCATCGCCGCGAGCGTCGTCGGGAGGACTGTTCCCCGCGTCGTTCATGCCAGCTCGTTTCCTTTCTTCGCCGTTTTCCCCTGCCTCTCGCCGCGGGCCCGTTCACCACCATGATCCCGCGCGTGTCCTCGTTCCGACGATCGTCATCATACCTGGATAGGGTAGGTTACAGGACCGCCTACAGCACCTGGTGTCTCTGTTATGCCAGGAGACGATCCTCGACTGCGGTCTGTCTTCGAAGATCTTGTATCTTCTCCGATTGTTACGATCAACTTTGTCAGTGGAACGATAGCCTTAACGGACTCCCAAATAGACAACAGCGTGTAATAATGAACAAACACACTGTGTCTGTCTGACCACCCCCAAGGATCTTGGTCCTCCACGTATCACAGGGACGACGAACGGAGCTGCTGCGTAAACGACGACGACCAGCCAAGGATAAAAGAAGCCGCGCACGTCCAGACAGGGGAGCGGCGGTTTACACGCGGAACGGAAACGGAAGACCCTCTCGACGGGGGAACGTTTTCTTGCTAGCACTGACAACGAGGAAGAGGACCGACGATTGACGCGATGGTGGGTGGCACATCCGAGGGAGGACCGAGGAAGGGTTGCTGCTCGCCGCGCGCGCGATGGGAGCTTGCCTGCTTGGCTGTCAACAGCGCCCGAGGTAGGCAACCGGACTGACTCTCCGCGTTTGCACGGTGTCGGCGACAGACAGCGCGACCAACGCGAGCCAAGAGAGGGAGTGAGAGGATTGCCTAGGCCAGAGGGGATCACTGAAGGATGAACGAAGGTGGAGGTAGGCCTCGTGAGGTGGAGGCGTTGCTGGAGGGATAGGGAGGTCGGGAGTAGGATGGGAAATTGGTGGGGAGGAAGCTTAACGGAGCGGCAGAAGGCGGAGAGCAATGGAACGAGTTGGAGATACGTAGGTTGAAGAGAGAGAGAGAGAGTGGTAGAAATTGGATAGAAGAGGGGAGAGGAATGGTAGTTGATTAGGGTGAGATAGAACGAGTTGAGGAATCTGCGAGCGCGTGGAATGGGAGGGAGAAAGCTTGATGGAAGAATAGAGAGGGAGATTGTAGGCTCGAGAAGGAGGAAATTGTAGGATCTGGTGGGGAATGGAATGCTTGGCAGGTGGAGAGGGAAGCAAGGACGAGGGAAAGGGGCAGCGAAGCAGAGAGAGATGAAAGGAGGTAGGAAATCTGTGCGTGTGTGTATAGAGAAAAGGATGTGAGGAGGAAACGAGTTAGGAAATGGAAGAAACACATCGAGAAGACGGAACGTGGAAAGAGGATTTAGAAGGGAACGGAGAAAGAGGGTGTTTGAGTGGAACGAAAGGGAAAGA